TATATATATATATATATATAAATTTTTCATTACATGCATTAATTGCTAAGTAATAAGTATAATTAAAAATATAATATTTAAAAAACAATCAATTATTTTCATAAGTTCAAATGGCCAAGACAAGGCTAGTTTAATATCTTAATATTTATCAAATTTTATGGTATACGCAAAGCAGACTACGGAAGAAAGAACCAGGAACAAACGTCATGTTGCAAGCAGGCCTCCATTTTGTCCTTTCTTTTTCATTTATGTTCGTAAAATCTCCGAAAATTATTAAAAAAAATAAATTACATATAAATTACACAAATTTTTTTATTTATATATCTAAAACTTAACGTGATATTTAAATTTATTATAGTTTTCTGTCATAATTTTATCTGCGACAAAATATTCATAAAAAAATATAGATTTTAAGGAATATTTGCATGCATACCACCAAGTTTTTATGTATTTAAACATATAACATCTAAGTTTCAAGTTTACAATTATGATATCTTAGTGTATATACCAAAAATACCATCACAAATCTCAAAGAGAACGAATGATCAAGAGGAAAGGGCATCCTTTCGACGAGGTGAGCAATCAACCGACAATCCAAGACAGAGCGTGAAACCGTGTCTCCAAACCAGGGATAGATTCAATCTCTGGAGATGGCTCGCCGCTCGGTAGTAGCAAGATCTGCTAAAAGTGAGGTGTGAATCAACCCGACTACGAGTCTCGTCGGTACCCCGCGTGGGCTCAAGATCCGCTTAAGACCTTACAAGATAGGGAGATTTGACCGAGGGGATGAACCAACCAGGCATACGAGGCACAAACCCTAAAATGCTCGAGCCAAATTGAAAATGAGCCACAACTCACTACAAAAAAAAAAAAAAAAAACCGGTCGATCACATTCAACTGACCAACCCTGCGTTCAGACCGAACAACCAACTTACAATCGACTGCTTTGGTCGACCGTGCCAAAGATACCGAGCAAGATCGCCATGCAACCGAACACCTCGACCGAATAACGCGTACTCCAGATAACACAAATATCACTCGTCCAATCGTTTCAGTCGGTTGACTTCAAGCCAACCGACCAACCAATTACCGCTAATGTTGAAATTCAAATTGTGATATAAATACGACATAAAATCTATACAATTAATTAGAGTCTTAATGAAATTAAGAACGGTTTCTACAGTTGTTTCATTCTCTCTGTAATATTACAAAACACGTTCCTATAAACAGGGTAAAAATACAAATAAAAGAACATTTCTCCCGATTCTCCCTACAAAGTTCCCAGATTTATTCTACTCTCTATTCTCTCTCCTACATTCGGCTTTGACTCTTAGAGGGTGATCTGCAAATGACACATTAGGAAACACATAAATATTCCATTTTTTATGTTAAAATAATAATACTTTTGATATAATTTGAAAGATTTGGTTGGTATGCATGTAGTAAGTAAATTTTATATATTAGATTTCTAAAAATATAAAAATGAATTTGATAGTATGTATGTAAAACCCAAAATTTAAATAATGAGTACATAAATATAAGAATATGTTTGGTTTGGGTGTAGTTTTTATTTAAAGTAGCAACTTATTAGAAAGTTGTGTGGTGAGATATATATATATATATATATATAAAATTTTGTAGGATCG